TTTTGTCTAAATTTTAAAAGTAATTTACTTCCTATCTGAAACACAATGTAAAGACTGATTTGGATAGAATTTTGGTTTCAATTTCTGTCTCTGCCAAATCTTTCCATTTCAAATAAATTAAAGTTTTTTTTTGCTTTTTGCTTAAATTATCATAAAATTCACCTTCTGGCCAGGCATTCCTCTGGTTCAGACACAACAACTACTAAGTTGTACCAAGTTATTAGGTACAACTTGATAGTACTGAGTTGGAGCTCTGTTTACCTTCAGAACTGCCTCAATTCATCATAGCATTGATTCAGCATGTATTTAGAAACAATTCCCAGAGATCTGTGTCCGTATTTATGTGATCACATCATGCAGGAGGTGATGCAGATTTGTCGTCTGAACATCCATATGAATCTCCCTTTTCACCACATGTTAAAGGTATTTTAACATACCTTTATTGGAATAAGATCTGGCGACTGTGGGATCCACCGAAGTTCAGTGAATTCATGTTTTCATGTTCCAGAAACCAGTTTGAGGTGATTTGAGCTTTGTGTGCTGGGATGGACATGGTGTGTAGCAACAGGCTGCACCACAACTAGTCTGTTTATTTCTCTTTCTTTTATTCATCTAAAAATGGCCTGATATGTAAATTTCATCAGATGTCCCCCACACTGACAGTACTGTGGTTTAATTTACAGTTAAGCAGCACTTTATTTGGCGGTAAGTGCTGCAATATTCAGATTGGTTCATCTGCATGTTGCCTCTGCCTGTCTTGTCTGTCCTGAGGGGGGCGCTGCAGACCATTTTACCAACCCGTCCTGAGTCAGCATTTCCTAACTCCAGTGTAAAACTGTCATCGCTCAGGAAAGGTATTTCCACTTTTACACTATGTGTGACTCTTAAAAATGATTATTATCGAACATTGCGCAGCATAAACTGTTTCTACAGCCATGTTGAACTTTAAGTGTCCTCTGTAATTTACTTCTGAAGTGACATGATCAAAAACGCTATTCTATTTATCAGTGTAAACCTCGGACAAGTGGACTCGTCGTAGCTTCTTATTTCGCAGCTGTTGGGGTGTTTTTGGTTCAACCTGCATCGCCAGGCTATCCGTGTTGAATATGAAACCTCCAGCTGCCGTGGCTCCTGAGCTTTGTGTTAAACGTAGCATTTCATGCCTGTTCACTAATTCATCCTGTTGCTATGGCCCTGCTTTCCGCGAGGCTCCCATCGTTCGTGGCATCCCTCTCCCCGTCGTCCGCACAGAAAACACACACACACACACACACACACACACACACACACACACACTGAGATGCGCTGACAAACTCCGTGGCCCAATTCACGGTGGCACAACACGGCAGTGGGCCAGAATAATTCAACGACAACAATTAAATATGAATCAGCCGCTGCCCAGCTGCCCCCTCAGAGATCAGGAGTCAAACAAGCGCAGGCCGCCCCTGTTGCTGCAACCTGTAGTTTCTAACTCCTCCTGGCAGCATCTACACCCGTCAACTTGATGTTTCCTTCTAGGGTCGAGCAGTGAGGAAAGCTTTCCTTATTCTTTATCATCCTTCTTATTGTTACAACTATAAACTTGGATTTTGTTCAAATTTTGTGTGTTAAAACCAACATAAAGTTGCAAATGTGGGAAGAGAAAGGAAAAGGAAGCATGGGTTTTGCTTTTTTTTTTTTTTTTTTTTTCTTTAAAAAATAAAAAAACGTAAAATTTGGTTATAGGGGGGGGAAATTT